TTTTGGCCCTTACGCCGGTCAAAGGAACTACAGAAAACCCACGATTCAGGAAAACAGAACGCACGCTTCGCTCAGGGGGCTGTGCGGACGCAGAGGAGAGAGATTTCCCAACTACAGAGCGAAGGAGGGCTGCGGGCTGAAATGGGGAACTCGTAGTGAGGGTCTAGCACTTACTACACCAATCCCGAAAGCCAGCCCCAGAGACTCTTAGTAGGGAGCATTTGCACAGCGCCTGCACGTCCGTTATCTGATTTGTCTCTCCACCATCCAGTCGGGGCGGCATTAATTTCGTGCTCACTTCCAAAAAAGCTCGGAAAGGCGCAACTGCGGGGTCACCCAAAGACGTAGTGGCAGGCTCGCGGCTCCAAATCCGGGTTCCTTTAGTCTTCCCTCTCCTTCCCAAGTCCCGGGGACAAAGACCCGCCTCGCGCTGTCCCCACCCCTCCAGTTTACCTTCAGCAGGCTCTGGAGCGCGGCGAAGTTCTCCACCGTCAACGCGGCCATCTTCCCCGAGTCACCTGACGGTGACACGCGGAGAAGCTCGTCACGTGGCTCCGAGGCCGCCGCAGAGCATGCCGGGGGCTGTAGTCCCTCAGGTGGTGGCGCTGCGGGATGGGGAGGGGCCAATAGGATGCGACCACTGGATGGCTCCGCCTGGGGACCCTAGGACAGTGGAGTTTGGAGGACGCAGGCGCGGGATGATTTTCCCTCGTGGACATTTGCCTGGCTTGGCTACTTACCAGGTCAGGGAAAATCAGTTTTCCCTGTGGGTGGGCTGGCTGCTTTGGGGGATGCACTTGCAGGTGGTATTCACACCCAGGTGTAGTCCCCTCTCACACTGTACCAGGATTGGTCTGTGTGGTCAATATCAGGTGGCAGAAGTGATGGGATGTCACTTCTAAGATTATTTATAGAAGACTGTAGCTTTTGGGTACTCTTCTGTCTACTTTTTCTTGACTCTCTTGCTCTGGGGAAAGTAATCTGTCATGCTGGGAGCAGTCCTCTGGAGAGGTCCATGTGGCCAAGAACTGAAGCCTTTGGCCGGTAGCCAGCAAGAAACTACAGCCTGCCAACAACTTCATTACTGAGTTTAGAAGCAGCTTCAGTAGCCTTGGTGGAGCTCTGAGACGACAGCAGTCTTGGCCAACATTTTGACTACAACCTCATGAGAGATTCAGAACCAGAACTACCCAGCTAAGCCACTCCTGGATTTCTGGTCTTCAAGAACTGTATGATTATAAATGTTTGTTGTTTTAAACCACTAAGTTTGGTAATCTGTTACATAGCAATAATAACTAACACATGGAGGCAATGAAGCATAGTGGCTTTAGAACTCCATCTAAGTCTGAATCCCAACTCTGCATGTTATTAACTGTACCTTGAGCAAATTCTGGAAATTCTGTGAGCCTCGGTTTCCACATCTCTTAAATGATGTTGATCACACCTACCTCAGAAAGCAGAGCTGACTGATAGGTGTTGCCCCATGGAGGGCATCTCGCTCCCCTTGCCCCCTTGCGGGCAGGTATGATATGAAGAGATCCCATGGGCTCCAGTAAGTAAAAGGCGGGGCTTGCAACCCTGCACCATGTCATCCCGTTTTGGTAGAGCTGCGCAGACAGCCACTACCATGATAAATTTAAAGGTTTGTCTATGGTCTGGAGAGCTTCCAGAAATTCCTAAACCATAAATGTTTTCACGGGAAAGAACAGGATAGAATGTCAAGAGTTTCTTTCCATAATTTGGTCCCACTACTTGGTATTTTCCCCATTCTACATATGAGGAAACTAAGGTACAGAGAAGTTAAGTAACTTGTCCAAGGTCACACAGCTAAGTAGTGGCAGAACCCAGATTCAAACTTGAGCAGTTGGGCTCCAGAGTCTGTGCTGTTAACTCCCAAGCTGTACATGCCTCATTGTCTTCTCATAGCTGAAAAGTCATGCTTCTTCTGTCTGGATGTCTGATTACCTTTCCAAGAGGGCAAGAGCAATCTCAGGGTGTTCCTGGACAATCAGCCCAGTGGTGTGATGAGAGACGAGATGATGAGTGGAAGGGGTACCTTTGGAAAAAGACTCAGGTTCAATTCCTGGCTCCTGTGTGCTTCTGGCAAGTTATTTCATCTCTCTGAACCTCAGTTTCCTCATTTGTAAAATGCGACAGCAATTAAAATACCCTTTGACCATTAGGGGTAACTCAAGGATGACTGATACCCCAAGGAGGGAGGAATTATTCATTCGGAGACTCCATTTTAGCCATTGGCGACTCTAAAGGGCAGAGCATTCCTGTGCTATGAGAATGGGTTGCCAGTAGTGATCACCCACCCGTTTCCCCAAGAACAAGGGATTTCCTGGACCACAACACTCACAGTGCTAACACTGGGACAGTCCTGGGCAAACAAGGCTAGTTGGTCACCCTCGTTTGAGCCCTGAGCCTTTGAGGGAAATCATCCTTGTAGAACGTGTCCTGTCTCCTCCAGTGGGGCTAATGTGAAGAGAGCAGTATGGATGCAGTGTTTTTTTAATAGAAGGTGATTAGGGGTAAGGATCTTAGGCTGAAAGTTCTTTCTTTCTTTCTTTCTTTCTTTCTTTCTTTCTTTCTTTCTTTCTTTGCTAATAGCCTTATTGAGATATAAATCACATATGCAATTTACCCACCTAAAGCGTACAATTCAGAGGATTTGGGTATATTCACACGCTTGTGTAACCATCACACAATGCAAGAACATATTTACCACCTAGAAGAAAAAACACACTCTTCAGCTAGCATCCCGCCTTCTCTCCCCACTACACCCCAGCCCCAGGGAACCACTAATCTCCTTTCCTCTCTATCTGCCTGTTCTGGACATTTCATATAAAACGGAATCACACGTGACTGTTTTTATCAATTTCTTCCACTTAGCCTGTTTTCAAGGATCGTCCATATTGTGTAGCATGTATCAATACTTCATTCCTTTTGATTGCTGAGTAATTTCCATTGTATGGTGAGATCACGTTTTGTTTACCCATTCACCGAGTGATGGGTATTTGGCTCATTTCTGCCTTTTGGCTCTCATGAGTACTGCTGCTGCGAGCACTCTTGAGCAAGCTTTTGCATACGTTCCTATTTTCCTTTCTCTTGGGGTGTATACCCAGGAGTGAAATTCCTGGGTCACAGAGTCACTCTGGGTTTAACTTTTTGGGGAACTGCCAGACCGTTTCCCAGAGTGGTTGCACCATTTATGTTCTCATCAGCGACATCTGAAGGTTCCAATTTCCCCACGTCCTCACCGCCGCTGGTTGTTATCCGTCTGTCTGGTTATAGCCGTCCTGTGGGTGTGAGGTGGTGTGATGAGCAAGCTTGCTTCCAGTTGAAATGTGCATGGCAAGCGCATGTGTCATTGAGGCTACTGATGGTCATTTGAGGTGACTGATGGAGTTCATGGAGGTTTAAAACCCCAGTCTACCCTTGGGTCCTGCCACCAAGTCCGGGCTGCCTTCTTCATTAGAGGAATGCCTGCAGGAGGCAGATTAGGCCGAGGGGCCTGTGGCCCTTTAGGGAGAGCCCCTCATTTCCCTGGTTTCCCTTTTCCTGGCCCCCATTTCATGGACTGAGATGAGGGTGTGTGTCCATGGAGAGAAGGAGCTAAGGGGTGGCTTACCCTTTTTGGTCTTAGGCCACCTGCTCTGAGTCAAAGACTGGTTGTGAGGTGCCCCGATCAGCTCGCTGGGAGACTGCAGGCAAACTGGGGACAGAAGGCCTGAAAATGACAGGTGCACACTGGCGTGGACGTGCTGTCTGTGTCCGGATCAGGCAACACAAGCTGCGTGATGTGGGGTCCCTTTGCACTAACAGTGTCTTAGTTTATGCAGTATTTCAAAATTGGGAAACGTGACAACAAAATCCAGATATCTGGCTTTTCTCTAAAACTTGACTGGCCTCGCCATGCTGCTCCCACCTTGCCACGTTGCAGCACTTGGCTGGAGCTGAGCCCCAGTTGCCCCCCGAAGATGGGCATGGGCTGTCTCTGCATCCCCACTGTCCCCACTGCTCCCTGTTATGTCACACTCGGCCCTCCGCACACGTTGTCACCGGCCTCACCCCTGCCCAGGAGTATTCGTTAGTGCCCAGCTTCCCTCAGCGACCTAGTGGGGTAAAGTTAGGCCACAGTCGATGGCAAGACTGGGTTTGTACTTGAGATCCTGGAGTTCCCGCTATCTGTGCCCTCACCCAAGCTGCAGGTGTGGACATCTAATTTCCCATTCACGCTTCTCAAGTGATTTGTGCGGACCAAGCGCTGTTCTAAGAGCTTCGCGTGTGTAAACTCATTCAGTCCTCACAGGGACCCAAGAATTATCCCAGTTTGCAAGTGAGAAAACTAAGGGTCAGAAATCAAACTCACAATCCATGGGTAATTAGCGGCAGACCAAGGATTGGAACGCAGGGGCAAATGAGGTCATCTTGTGAGCTCGCTCACGATACAGTGCCTGGTCCATTAGGGGCAGTCAGCGGAGGCTGCCGCATGATGAGTCCCCTGGCCTTGCCACTGCTCTCCGCTCCCCAGCTGGGCGGCCCTGGCCAGGTGCCCTTCAGCGAAGCCGGGAGGTGGAATAGATGACATATGTGTTTGGAGAGATGATAATCTGATTCTCTTCGGCTCTAACTTGTGGTGAGTCTCTGACCGCTAGCGAGAGAAGAGGGGAGGGAGACGAGAGGGGCATTTGGCAATTTGTGATGCCTGGAAGACTAGCGTGTACCCAGTGGCTCACTCCCCAGGGGGTGTCCCCTGTCCTCCCACTTGAGAACGCCGCCGTGAGCTGGGAGTCCAAAGTTCCCCTCGCGGCTCTGACGAGCCTGGTGGGTATGATTAGTGAAGTCCAGAGCGCATCAGGCTGGGAGGGCACTGTGGCCTCGTTTCTCACCCTCCGTCCCCAGGAGCAACACAGAAGTGGCTGGTAACACACGGCATTGTCCTCACACACAGGGCCTCTTTGTTTCCCCCGGTTACACAGAGAGGAGGCTGTAACAATGGCCTTGAATGGCACTCTGCTCTCCTTTCTCCAATGTTATACTTGGTTTTCTTTTTCAGTTCTGGAATCAGCTAGACAATTATTTCCTGCGGGAGGTATCAGCTTTTCATCTTTTCCGTCTGCTTCTCTGTCAGTCCTCAGGCCCCAGCTCAGTGGGGACGGAGCGGAGAGCTAGACCCAGAGAGAGCGGGGCCCATCCAAATGTCACCTTTGCAGGAGGCTGGAAGGTGGTGGTACTTCACCTCTCCCCTGCAAGGTGGGACCAGCCCTAGAGGAAGGAGCCAGACCAGGTAAGGGGAGAGATGGGCTGAAAGCTGCTGATGGGGAGCAGGGCCTGGGGGCAATGGCTGAGGGGGATGGGTTTCTGTTTTTAAGATGCCCTGTTTGCTAGAGAGCCACTGGCTCCTGGTAAACAAACACACAAGCAAAAGCAACTGAGGTCAAGTTAACAGTCTGCCAGTTAGGGAAACACTCAGCCTGTCTGATGCTTATTCAATGCCTCTGATGTCTTGGGGTGACAAAAAACTTTAGGGTCCATGTAGACCTATTGAAAGGACTGTTCCCTTAATGATAGCTGCCATTATTAAGCTCTTACTATATGTACTGTATTTGCATACATATTACCAAATGTATCTTACCGTATTGATAGCAGTTATAGCAAGCACTTATACAATGTGTTTTCCGTTCTTGCTTGATTCAAGCCCAGCACTCTGGTCCTAGAGTCTGTGTTTTTCATCACACGCTTCTTATATAATATTCTTTACACTAAATCAAGGTTATTCCAAGGTTTCACTTTGAGAGGCAGTCGTGTGTTATGATAACTCTGTGTATCGAGTCCTTTGCCCTCTGACAGGCAGCGTTCCAAGTGTTTTGCCTCTGTGTCCTCATTTATTCCACATAGTAACACTATCGGATGGGTACTTTTTTTTTTTAACCTCCATTTTGTTGACGAGGCCGTTGAAGTACAGAGAAGTCAAGTAACTCTCCCAGGGTCACACAGCTGTCAAGTGGCAGAGCCTGGATTTGAACTCAGTTCTCTCTGGAGTGTTATGTGGATCTAAAGCCTGCCCAGCCCTGTGGCTGGTTTGGAGTTAGTGTCCTCCTCTGGGTCACGAGTTATAGAGAGTGGCATTTTGTCCCTGGCTCTGTAGAAAATCTGTACTTATGTCATTCGCTTGAGGAATACAGAAGATCTTAAATGGCTTGTCTATTGTGGTTAGCTTTTGCCTTGCTTGACTGCCCAGTGGAACTGCCCAATGGGGACAGGGAAGGAATTTGGAGTGATAATTGCTCAACAAATGCCATCTTCTCCTTTGCCAGAGACTGGGCTCAGTTGCCATATGTGTAGGAGGATGTATGTTAAATAAACAGGACTCACAGGGTACAGTCAGGAAGCCAACTTTATTTTGGCCTGTTCCTGCCCCTCAATTTTTCTGTGCTGTCCCCAGGATGAAAATTAGGGCAGGGCCATGCCTCTTCTGACTACCTTTCTAGTTCCCACACTGACTCAGTTCGGTAACGGATTATGTTCGGGTGCGTGGAATAACCCAGCCCTTCAAACTCTGTTCCAAGTGGAGACTCTCTTCCTCCTCCAGCTGGGGCCTGGAGCAGGGAGCGGGAGTACAAGGTGGGTTTCCTGCTTCCCACCTATGCTTCTGTCTGTCTGGCTGAGGATTCGGACCCCTGGTGAGGACAGGAGGGGAGGAGAGGAGGGGGAGGAGGAGCAGGGAGATGTTACTTGGTTAATCCTGCGGTTATCTGGATGGGCCCGGTGGCTGTTTACACCTGATTCGTTACCTCTTGGCACAATTTTGTAGATACTTCCGAGAACACCCTCTGTCCTTGTCTTCGAGACTTTCTAAACTGCTGGTCCCTAAGACTCTTTCTCCTGTCCCCTAGCGCCTGAGCTATGCTTATTAGTTTGGTGGGGCAGCCAAAACAGACACCACAGACTGGGTGTCTTAAACAACAGAAAGTTCTGGGCACAGGAAGTCGGAGATCAAGCTGTCGGCAGGCTTGGTTTCTTCTGAGGCCTCTCTTGTCGGTTTGGAGATGGCCGTGTTCTTCCTGTTCTTCACGTGGTCTTCCCTTTGTGTACATGCATCCCTGGCGTCTCTCTGTGTGTGTCCAAATCTCTTCTTCTTATGAAGACACCAACCAGATTGGATTAGGGTCCACGCTAAAGGCCTCATTTTAACTCAATCACCTCTCTTAAAGCCTTGTCTCCAAATACACTTATATTCTGAGGTACCGGGAGTCTGGGGCACACAATCCAGGCACAACAGGTGTTGTCAGCTTTTGTCCCTGGAGGAGCTTGCACTCCTCCTGGTGGCCCTCTCAGAGAGGATCTACACACCCCATGAGGTCACCTGTTGCACACCTCTGGCTTATCAGAAATGCCCAAAGCCGCCAGGCACCCCCACTCCAGCTGGCCACCCCATCTCTCTTCACTTGGGGCTTCCAAAGCATGATGTCGACGCTGGACCTCAGAGACGCTCAAGCTCCAGGGATACGGTGCTTTCGAGATCGCTCTTGGGAGGTGGGAGGTGGGTGGTTGGGACTTGGAGCATACCTACTGCTCATTCCAAAATTCCTCCTCTGCGCTCCCACAGTTTTCTCCTCCAGCCCTCCTTGGTGGGCTGGGCATGGTCCAATAAGGGGGAAACTGGTTTCTTTTTTTTTTTTTTTTTTTTTTTAACGTTTATTTATTTTTGAGACAGAGAGAGACAGAGCATGAACGGGGGAGGGTCAGAGAGAGAGGGAGACACAGAACCGGAAGCAGGCTCCAGGCTCTGGGCCATCATCAGCCCAGAGCCCGACTCGGGGCTCGAACTCCCGGACCGCGAGATCCTGACCTGAGCTGGTCGGACGCTTAACCGACTGAGCCACCCAGGCGCCCTGGAAACTGGTTTCTTTAGTAAGTCCTGCATGACGGGCCACAGCTCCCTTGGAATGTGTCACCTAATGTGTCTTCAGCACAAAGTGAAACTAAAATAGCCTTCCGATCCTGCTACCCCTACGATATCTCATTTAATTTTCATGAAGAACCCTATGGGAAAGATAATAGTGTCCACGTCTAGCTGAAGGAGGAGACTCTGGAGCTGAGAATGGTGCAGGAACTCCCCCAGGGTAGGCTCTCAAGCCAGTGGGGGGTGGGAAGCGGAGATCCGCTTCGACCTGCTTTACTGTCCCTTCCTTAGGCCTTCACCACCAGGCTTCTTAGAGCTTTTGACTGCTGGACTTTGTTCTGTACTGGGAAGAATTTCCTTCTTAGCAGAATGTTACAAAGGTAAAAAAAAAAAAGGTAAAATCCCTGCCTGTGTTCCAGTTTGAATGCAGGGGCTGGTGCCAGGGACAGTAGCAGGCCCAGTGTGAGATGGGCTCCCTGTACCAAAGGGATCTGCTTGAACCCTCCACCCCTCCCCAGCATGACTTGATCCGTGGAGCAATGACACAGCATTGGAATATCTTTCTCTGTGCACCAAAGCAAAATTGCATTCTGAAATCTTTTTTTTTTTTATTTTGTTTTTTTAAATTTACATCCAAATTAGTTAGCATATAGTGCAACAGTGATTTCAGGAGTAGATTCCTTAATTCCCTTTACCCATTTAGCCCGTCCCCCATCCCACAACCCCTCCAGTAACCCTCAGTTTGTTCTCCATATTTATGAGCCTCTTCTGTTTTGTTCCCCTCCCTTATGTTCATCTATTTTGTATCGTAAAGTCCTCATATGAGTGAAGTCATATGAGAGTCTGGGGCCCTGGGGACTGGACGGGGATATGCCAGGGCTGCAGCTGACTTAGACCAGGAAAGAAAGAGGGAACAATATTTTTTTTTTTATCTGCTCAGCAATCATTTAGCGAACACTTATTACGCTTAAGGTTTTTTTGTGGGCACTCTTCCAGGAAGGCATGGGTCGTTGAATGGGCCCTGGAAAAAGTGAGGTCTGAGATTCTGTTTGGGTTCTCAGAGGAAGGTGAGGCACTGGAAGGAGAATGTTTCCGGTTGAGGGAAGGGAGGCTTGGAAAAGCATGATGTGATCGGCGACCTGCACTTGGTTTTGAATTATCAGGCATCAAGGGTAGAGGGTGCAGGAGTCAAGCCAGGGCAAAGGAGGAAGGTGGGAGCTGCCAGATTATTACTTGAGGCTGGACAGGGAGGCTGGACCCAGGTGGGGACACAGCAGGGCTTTAAGCAGAGAGGGAGACTTGAAAGGGGTTGCCTTTTAGAGAGAGGGCTCTGATGGGGGCAGGATGGGGGCACACTGGAGCATTAGAGGTGTCAAGATCTAGGGAGTTGGGCAAGGGAGGACGAAGAGCTGGACCAAAGCCCTGGCACCTGGAATGTTCCTCTGGTTTCTGAGTTGGCCCACTTGCCATTCATTACCAAGGTGTGTGTGTGTGTGTGTGTGTGTGTGTGTGTGTGTGTGTGAAGAGGGCAGCTGGGCTGGGATTGGAGCTGGCTGAAGATGCTTTTTAGCAGGAGGAAGTAGAGCATGGAAGTTGTTCTTTCTTTCAACAAATAGGTCCTCGGGGCCATGAGCTGAGAGCTGGGGAGAGGGAAGCAGAGGGGACACATTCCATTCCTCTCAGAGCTCACAGCCCAAGTGAAGGAACAATTCAAATGTAATGTAGCAGAAAGACTGTAAAAGGCAATTGGGGGAGGGCTGGGGAAATTTGGGTACTGGCCAAGCATTTGGCGACATCAGAGAATGATTCATTTCTAAAAGTGTGATTATGGCGTTGTATTTTAGGTGGGAGAATAGTACTCAGCTTTCTTCCTTTTTTGGAGGTGCAAGTTGAATTGTTTAGGGGTGAAAGTTCAAGATGTCCATAATTTACTTGGAAATAAAATAAGGACACAAACAAAGAGAGAGAAAATATGGTAAAATGTTACCAGTTGTTGTGAGTGTATGAGAGTTCATGGTACTGTTATACATGATTATTTCCTTGGCTTTTGGTTTTTTCGTGTGGAAACTTTCAAAATAAAAATTTAAAAATACAAAGTAGCAAGTGTGTTGATGGGGAGTAAGGGTGCTGGGGGAACACAAAAGAGGGCCCCTAATTGGAATTGGATGGGTGAGAAAGTCTTCCCAAAGAAAATAGCATCTAAGAGTGGAGAGATGGAATGGGTGATGGACAGGGGGATAGGGAAGCACTTTGGGGAGAATGTAAGAGGCAGCATGTGTGAATGCTTGGTAGCTGGTTTTGTTAGATGAACAACAAAAAAAAAGACATTCAATGTGACTGTAGAATGTGAGTCAAGGAGTTACCAAGAGGTGAGAAGGGAA